TTCCTACAGCTCCTGAAAGAAGAAGTCCACAAACACGAACCACAATTCCAACTCATCCAACAAAACAGCAACGAGTTCGTATCCAATGGACGTAACGTAATGGAGCCTTATAGAAGACTTCTCGATAGAAGATGGGAAGACCTTGAAGCCAAGATCTCTGATTTAGAAGAGGAATTAGACTCGGTCAAAAGGAGTCAGTATAAGAGTCGTGTAGATACCGAGGTTATAGTCAAGGAACGTAARATGATTAGTCGTCCCGGTGTTACTGAGGAGTTAGTGCGTACGGAGGAACATGTGGGTACGGAAGCTGGGCTACCRATGTTTGAAGAGACAATTACTACCAGGACGTATGCGATGCCAGGTATGAGATGTTACTGGGGGTCRAGGGGTTTTGGTCATGGGGGTACAGAAGACGGGTAATCGATGTTTGAAGAGACAATTACTACCAGGACGTATGCGATGCCAGGTATTAGATGTTACCGGGGAGCCGGGGGGTCAAGGGGTTTTGGTCATGGGGGTACAGAAGACGGGTAATCGATGTTTGAAGAGACAATTACTACCAGGACGTATGCGATGTCAGGTATGAGATGTTACCGGGAGGCCGGGGGGTAAAGGGCATTTGGTCATGGGGGTGCARCTATTTTAACTAAGAAGATGTATCCGGTATTAAAGGAGATGTTTAAGCCGATGAAAGGACGAAAAGGTGGAGTGGTTTTGGCAATGGCGCGATCTATGTAGTTTCGCCTTTGCAGATCGAGTGTGGAGTTTTGAGTTCTGCACACACTTTGCGCTCCTTTCGTACTAGCAGAAGCCTCATTGTGTGTACACACCTGATTTTCTTTTTCTTTTTCTTTTCTTTTTCTTTTCGAGTAATGTTATTTTTAACGAACCTGTTTTCAAACCAGTTTGAAGTCTGTTGTTATTGCTGTTTAGTATGATTTTACATTGCATTTTAATCCGCGTTATTTTCACGTTATTTTCAGATGACATTGAGATCAGGCTTGAAAGAATTATCACAGAAGTCAAGGAATTAGAAGAACTTCTTATGGACATCGAGCGCCCTAAAGAACGAAGAACCGCAAGCTACGAGATCACTGACAAAATACAGGTAACACATGTAAACTTGGTCATACTTGTAATGATTAGATGGTACCGCCTTGGTGTCTTGAATACAAGGTTTTATGATAACAGAGCGTAATCTCGCAATCTGATTGGCTGACAGCTATAATCAATAAGTGTAGCGACCCGACTCACAGCGGTGAAAGAATCATACCAACCATGCTACCCTAAGAAAGAAACAATAGGCGGGAATACGTACTTTTCAAAAATATTTATAAGCAAAAATMGAGAAGAATGAAAAAGAATTTCCCTCAATAAAAAATCCTTTTAATACAACGTATCACTTTTTTCTTGATCTTCACAGCAAGCAGAAAGAAAATTACACAGCCTTCAACCACGTGTCGAGACCATCCTCAAAGAAAGCAAGAGCGTCACGTCACGTGACTCACCGAGCAGCGACACGATACGTCACTCACTACTCGACTTGTCCGGGCGATGGTTGAAGGCCTGTGATGACGTAGATCGCAACAAGCGAGCTGTAAAAATCGTAACTAACTGGTATCAATTTAGAAGCAATTTGGAAGAGATCAATAATTCTTTGAAGAAATATGAGGGAGACGAGAAACCAGAACGCTACGTGAAGGTAAATGAATTCGTAAAGTATTTAGTAGACTGCCCTCTATAAAGTCCCTCTATTTCTCTATGTCTATTGGTTGAGGAAGATTGGTTACAAGTCAAAAGTCACTGGGGGAGGGGGCTGGGGAGGACTTTTGACTCGTAACCAATCTTCCTCGACCAATCGACATGGACAGACAGACGGACAGTGACCAAGGGAAATAGAGCTCGCAGTCTAAATATTTAGGTAATTTAAYATACCAACGGTAAAGTAAGAGGTCTAGATTTGGGGGAAGGGAAAGGTGAAGGATTTTTAATATTTAAAATTTCAAAATCACAGCGGTTGTATCACAGTGAGAATTGAAAAACCTAGGGCACCTAGAAATATTCCAGGAATGTTCTATTGTTCTTTGGCCAATCAGAATGGGCTTTCTAACCACAGAATAACGGAAATATAACAATAACGCTCCTGATTGGTTAAGAAACATTCTTGAAATATTGATAGGACAAAGTCGTGCCGGAGAGTCTTAGTGAACATTTTAGAAATTACTAGCTATAAATGGTAGTTTAAGCTGGAGAATTATGCTCGTTTACCGGAGCATTCCCCGATCCCCGATCCCCGATCCCCGATCCCCAATCCCCGATCCCCGACCCTTAATGAAACCCATGAATTCTTGTCGTTGGCTTTGCCCTCTGTCGGTTTCCAGCTACTCTTTTCCAGCCGCCTAAAATCCTAAAACCATATATCTGTTTATTAATGTTTGTGCAGGATCTTAGCGCTGAAGAGCTAGAAGAACAAAGAAAGAAGTATGGACTGGTAATTAGTGACATCGAAAAGCTTGACAAGGAAGGAATTCAAATCATTACTCCTTTGGAGGCTAACAGGATCAAGAGAAGACTACGGGAAATAAACAGTAGATTTGAACACTACAAGAAACCAAAAGACGATGGTGAGGAATGAAATATTATTGTRTTGTGTTGTCCCGTTTTCCTCTCATTTATATTCTTCCTTTTTTTCGTTCTCTGCAATTTCATTTTCGTAGTTTCCGGTTTTTTTAATTCCCACTTTCTTTTTCATTGCCACAAAATCATCTCCATCATTATATATCATCACCATCATATA